AAAATAAGAAAATCCGCAAGTGAAGAGACAGTGAGAACCGGTGCAAGCAGACTGTCTCTTTGCTTGCGGATTTTCTTATTTTTCCTTCTACCCTGAAGATGGAGGCGATATGTTCCTCCGAAACGTCGGTTAACACAACATCTACACGGTGCCACATCCCAGAAGACTGCTTTCTTCATAGCATCAGGATGTTTGCAAAAAATACAAGTGGGCAACCCTTGCTTCTTTAGCAGCAGGTATTTGTGACCCATATTATGAAGTGTAGCTTAAAATTGGTACACAAAATATTTCCAGATCCCCACTGTGTTTCCATACTTGCTTTAACAAATTAAGTGACATAATATCTCACTGAAAGCTCTTATTGTGTCATATTATACCAGATGCTGGTTCCAGGCCTCTTTCTTTGCAGTTTATTTTTGGAAGTTATGTTGAAAGGTTAAAATAGGGTGTCAGATCCCTGCATTATATGACTTGTGACACTAGGTTCATAAATATTACTAAATAATTAAGGAAATACTAACATGAAAAAGGTAAAGGGAAAGTTGTCCCTTAATTATTTAAACACCATGCCGTGAAGACGTGAGGAAGTAGAGGTATAGTGAGTGCCTTTACTCTTGACTTTCACAATAGATGAAGGAGAGTGTTCAGCTTCATACCCAGGGGAAAGAGCCCGGGCACCCATTGGATAGGGGTTTGGGTGGGCCCAGATCCAGTCTGCATGTTGTGGAAAATCTTTTGCCTCTGCGAGGAATTGAACCCCAGCTATCCAGCCCATAGCCCCTCGCTATACCATAAGCTGAATCTAACATTGTGTTGTAACATGTGACACAAACTTGACTTACGTACAAAAATCTGAATTGTGAACATGAAATGGTTAACTGAAATTAAGACTGATATAGATCATAGAAGAGAATATCAGATTGTGGCCATTTATGAAGATGTGAGATGTAAACTTCTCACGAGTGCATACAGGCCATGAACCCAACTTTGCGTGGTCCTGCAAGTGTTCATGCTCTAAATATAGATTACTGTCAAAGAATCAAATCAGAGGAAAGGGTGCTTTATGTCCTTGAATTTAACTGAAGCTTTTGTACTTGTGATGGCACATTTGCTTTGCTTTGATTATTCTTTTTTAAAATTTAATATAGACCCTGAGTTCAACTG